ACTAGTGAAAAGAGGTTCTGGTGGCAAGTTGTTGTGAAGACCAGAGATGGTACAGACTGTCTCATGGCTTGTTGTTTAGTGTACTGAAAAGTACAGGATTCCCTCCCATCCCTGGACTGGACTGGGTGGGCTAATCCAGATCTATGCATATGCCACTCCAGGTCGCTAGGACTCAGCTGACTGCAGCACAAGAATTAGGCAGGGGTGGCTCAAGGCATCTCCCCACCAGAAGCACCTGCTTCCTGTGCTACGTCTCCTGAGTCAAGTGGGCTGCAGAAGTACCTTGGTGGCTATCCTTCTCTCATGCACATATAGTTCGACTGTTTGTATAACTATAGCTAGAATGTGAGTCCACCATATACAGGTGTGATTGGATTAGGTGTGATATGCAGAATATCACACCTAATCCAATCAAACCTGCTGTTATCATTTGCCTGCTAATGTCATTTGGCATCTGAAACCACTCCACTTTCCAATATATAGGACAGATGGACTCACGTTCTAGCTGTATCTGAAGAAGTGAGCAGTGACTCATGAAAGCTCATACCCTAACACACCTTTTGTTAGCCTTTAAGGTGCTACTGGACTCTTGTTCTTTTCTATAGCCAGGAAAACCATTGTGGACAATTTGTATCTATTCCTGCATCCCAGCCTAGGATGTGTTAACTGCAGAGTCTGGTGTGTGTGCTCATAAAACAAAGAGTGTCCCTCTCTACAGCTGCAGGGAGAGGAGAACAGGGACTGCTCTCCATCTGATCTAAATGCTGCTCCTGTGTCCAGTGATGGGAGCTGCCCTGGTCACCTTACCTTGCAGGGTCACCTTACCTTGGCTGAGACAGAAATACACAACTGGCAGCTGCAGCAGCCAGGCCAGGAGATGCCCAAACAGGCAGGGAGGGGCTGCAGACTCTAGGTTCAGGTGGCACCAGTAACGACCCAAAGCACTGCCTGGGAAAGGGAGCAACCTGGAAGGCAGCTGCAGCTGAGAGAGGACTTCAGGGTGAAGGGATAGAGGGGAGGAGCAAACCAGGGGAGGGGATTAGGAGGATGACCTATTTAAGAAGGATCTGCAGCAGGCCAGGGAGGATGAAGCATCTCTTCTCAGGCAGTGTACAAGACCAGAGGATACAGAAGCAAGGTAGTGCAGCCCCCCTCCCCTCTCAAATCTGAGACCTTGCAAGTCTTCCACTGCCTAGAAGATCACAGCAGAGCAAGGACAATGTGGCTTGACCAGGGGGAGTGTCATATCCTGAAAGGGTTAGGGTTTGAGAATGCAGCTAGAAATAATGGAAATCTAATGAGAAAGACACTTTAATTTAGCAGATTAGGGGGAGAGAAAAAATAGAGCTATAGTAACGTTCTCCAGTGGTTGTCAGTACTGTTAGATTCTGCAAGACAGACTAACACACCTCTTGGTTATTTAAGGCCATAATAACCCAGATACTATATTAGGGCTGTCTTCTGAAAAGTGTGATATTGACTGCACTGCAAAATTGTGAGCTTTGTTTGCCCCACCAGAAATGCAACCTGCACAGTGCTCTAAAACAAATCTCAAGCATGGTCTAAAAAGAATCCAAGGAACAGGTTAGTGAGGTTTAGAGATCACCTCAATAGCAGAACAACCTGGCAAATGAAACGTAACAGATGCCAGATTTTTTTCCCACAGATTTTGATGGCACAGCCATAGCAGCACTGTAGAGAACCTATGCAACTGATTGTCTGTGGCTGTTGCAAGATTAAAACACACACAATCCAAGGAGGAACTTTGCAATGAGTCTAGAGAATGAAGGGGAGTCAGGTGCCAAGCCATCAGCTGTAACTTGGACTGTCTTCCTTCAAGGATTTGCCATGTCATTGAGTGATTTTGCTTTTGGCAGGCAAGGGTTACTTGTTAGTTGTATTTAAGCCTGCTTCTTCCCCAAGGGAGCTCACAGTCAATCTACTGGATCCTCCTCCAGCTGCCTCTAATGCGAGACTAGAAGCTGCTTCTCTACTTCAAACCATCCTCTGGACTAGGGTTGCCAGGTCCAATCTTCTCCCCAGTGGGGGGGATTTGGGGGGTGAGCTGGGAGGGGGCAGGGCCATCCCTGATGCAATGATGCCATGTAGAGTGACCACCACGTGCGCCCCCCACTTTCCCCCAACCATTTCAAGAGAACCTTCCCTTAAAATGCATGGAGGAAAAGTGGACACCATGCACACCTGCCATGCAAGCCAAGATTTCTCTCTTGGGCAGTCTCCGCCAGTTCAGACCCCATCAACGTGTATTTATAGTTAGGATTTTTGGCCCCAATGTTAATCACTTTGCACTTGGCCACATTGAACCCCATTTACCACACTGACGCCCACTCGTCCATCCTCGACAGATCCCTTTGGAGTGCCTCACAATCCTCCCTGGTTTTCACCACCCTGAACAATTTTGTGTCATCCGCAAATTTAGCCACTTCACTGCTTACTCCCAACTCCAAATCATTAATGAACAAGTTAAAAAGCATCAGACCCAGCATTGAGCCCTGCGGTACCCCACTGCTTACCACCCTCCACTGTGAAGATTGCCCATTTATACTCACTCTCTGTTTACTATTAATTAGCCAGTTTTTGATCCACAAGAGGACTTGTCCTTTTATCTCATGATTATTAAGCTTATTTAGAAGCCTTTAATGAGGAACTATCAAAAGCTTTCTGGAAGTCAAGGAAAACAACATTTATTGTGTCCTCCTCGTCCACATGTTTGTTCACAGGTTAGTGAGACAAGATCTTTCCTTACAAAACCCATGCTGAATCTGCCTCAATAGTTTTTGTTCATCAATGTGCTTACTAATTCTTTCCTTCATAACAGTTTCCACTGACTTACCCAGTATTGATTTCAGACTGACTGGCCTGTAATTTCCCAGATCTCTTCTGCAAGCCTTTTTAATGATGGGGGTGACATTAGCTACCTTCCAGTCCTCAGGAATGGAGGCAGATTTTAATGAAAGATTACATATTTTTGTCAGGAGATCCACAAGTTCACATTTGAGTTCTTTCAGAACTCTTGGATGTATGCCATCCGGGCATATATTTGTAAACATATGGTGATAATACAGTAAAATACTGTAATCTGTTTGCTGGATTATTACTTGTGCTCCATCATTGTGGGGTTGCCACTGTGACCTCTCTTATCTGCTTTCCAGCATACTGGCAGCCTTACACTGCATCCCCTGACTGGCAAATTCAGGCACTTTAGTTCTGTTGTCTTCTTATCTCAGAGAAGCTTAGGGTTGCCAAGTCCATCTTCCACCCCCAGCGGGGGACTTTGGGGGCGTTCCTGGAAGGGGTGGGGCATCCCCAACGTGATGACATCATGTTGGGGATGTCTGCTGCCCCCCCCCCGGCCGTGCGCCGGATCTCCACAAACAGCAGTTCCCTGCACTAAAAGTAGCCGGCAGCTGGCGTTTCCCCTTTAAGAGAAGCTGCGTTTCCCTTTTAAGAACGAAGCTGGCTTTTCCCTGCAAGCTTGCGGAGTTTGCGCTTGGGATGAAACATGGGTTGCACACCCTTAAAGGGAGAGAGATGGGTGGCTGTGGGTGTTGGGGGTGGGGCTTCCCCCGCCGGCCAAAACGGGGGACCCCTGGCAAACCGGGGGGGGTTGGCAACCCTAGAGAAGCTGTTAATAAAATACTTCCCGTAGAGGACAGCAAAACAACCTGACATAAAGCACCCATTCTGAGACTTAGAGAGCTCTCTCCAACCAGAATTACATCACCCTGGTCTTGTGCAAAGTGTACATGGCTCACAGACCTGTAAAGACACACAGTAAAAGCCTAAGATATGATAACCTGTCAAACTGCATTTATGACTGCTCTTCCAGACTTCTCCCTAAAATGCAATCCCAAAGAGACAATAAGAAAATTGACTTTTATTTTTTCATAACCAGGCATGTCTTAATGAAGGTTCCTTTCTACAATTTCTGCTATAAAATTTTGGCAAGGATGTTTCTATTTTACTTTTGAATTTTTTTGTCATCGTTGAAAGAAACAAACCTAATGATAAAATTCTTTCAAATGGACATCTAGATCCTACCAACGTGCTGCTCAAGAGGCATCTGTACTGAAAATTGATCTTCCATATATTGTATTCACATTTCCAGACTTCAGTTTCTTAACACTCAGTTGCTGAAGCATCTCTTAGACCTCTCCTCCATACTGCGATTCTAATCAGATTCCAGTGGAATATGAACAGGTTCCATTTTGCACACATTTTTTTAACAATCTTGAACAAGTTTGACATCAGGTGAATGAACAACAACCCTTCGGGGCATCATTAATCTGCCAGCTCTTCATCTGCTCAAGAAGATATTTTTAAATCAACATACCACTCAAACCTCCCATCTACTTGCTAGGCAGTTAGTGGTGCTGCAATTCCTTTTTAAAAGTTTTTCCCCCCCTTCAGAAATGTCCACGACATTGCAAAGCTTTCTTTCCTCACTTTAGAAGTGCTGATTCAGCTTCCAGAGCATACACCCGGCATCTGCAGGGCCATCAATAATTTGTAAAGAGGTGCAGAGAGAGCTGAGCGAGGTGGGAAGACAAGACCAGCATTTCCATTCACAATCTCTGTCCTGAAAACATGCTGAATGAGCAATTCTTTGGATTGAAAAATACATAAATTGGTTTAGGTGTTTGGTGCAATGAACTCAAACGTCTCTCAAACTAATTATAGAGGACTAGGCTGTTCAGCTGAATGACAACTTACTAGTTTACCTTCACTTGTATTTCTTTCTTCTCCTCAGCCAGTGCAGTGATACATCCCAATGACACTAGACTCCTTTGCGGTTTGCTTTTTACGTAGAGGAGGAAAATGCACTTCTAAAACTGCCATCTGACTCTTTGTAAATCTAAATTAACGATTACCACCGTATTTCTAATAGGATGTACAAATGCAGTCTGAGAAAATGGGGGTAGGGGAGAGAACACAGTGAAAACATAAAGCAGATTTACCAAAAACGCAAACGCACTTACCTTCATAAGTTCCACTTTCCAAAAGAGCACCACTTTTCTCCAGTTCCATAAAGTCTTCAACAGTGATGAAAATATAATCCACACCAGGGACTTCCCCCTCCTTATGAGGCCTTGTAGTGCCTAATTTGAAAGAAAGGGTGCATACTGTTATTAAGCATTCTAACAGTCATTGGATAACTGGAAATACCTTGTGCCCGGCTAGCTTTAGAGGTTGCTAAGTGAAACATGTGACTGGCATAGTTTCAAATCCAGTAAGATTTCTGAACTCCATACCTTTTACAGCTGCCTGGATTTTCAATATAGGCATAAAACTTTTGGGAGGTATGGTACAAAAATTTTAACCATGTTCATGGATCACAATGTACAAAATGATTTGGAACAAATTAGGACAACTAGGAGGCAGGGCTGAACCAGCTGAAACAATCCCTGAAACATTTTAAACATGGGCTGTAAGCGAGAGCTTTACAGCTGCCATTGCTGGAAATCATGATTGCAGCATGCATTTGTTTTGGGTCCCAGCAGCTTGTACGGTCAAGGCAAGCAGGTTTTACCTCTTCAGACAGGAAACTACATATGCAATGAGCAGTTGGTATTGTCATTTACCTGGGACCCCAGAACCTCTGGCTCCGTAGAAGGTAGTCCCACTGCTGCATGTGCGGAGAGAAGTGACGGAGTGCTTGTCCCACGACCAAGCCTCCCCCAGTTGCTGCAAAGGCCACATGGTTCCATCGTCCACTCCACCACTGAACCCACTTAGCTCTATATTATTGTTACTATTATTTATATTATAACAACATCACTACAGTCTGTAGCTTTATTGAGTATCAAGCAAAAGGACGTTTCCTGCCCCCAAGAGCATATGATATTCTGGAGGAAGCTTGTCATCTTTCTTCTCCCTCCCATGGATGTCTCCCACCGATGACTTCACCATTCTCAGCTCTCCTCCTGCTGGCCTTTCATGGGTCTCATGGCCATCTGCTACTAGAGGGATGCCCAGAAAACTGGAGTTGCAGGGAGCACCACTTTGCCTGTGAATGCCAGTGCTCATTTGTGGCCATTATCATGGATGTCAAAACGACTCTAAGTGTTATTCTGGAATGCCCTGCTAAAGCCCCATTCATTTGAGCAGAGCCTGTACCATCAGATCTCATTATGCATCAGGCTTATAGATGGTCCTTGTGGGGCTGGAAGACCTTCACGGCTCCCCTTTCTGGCTGTGAGTAGTGAAACAATTTCCTGTCATTATGCTAACATGCATTTCAGGGGCTGCTTAGACTATCTGCTGGTTGAAACATGATTTGACCAACAACTTGGTAATCTGATGTTGCTTCCCAGAAAATGACAGATTCTTACAAATAATGCAACATACTGTCTTTATTATTCTGTCCTGAATACCATTGTACTATTTATAAAGCTGCCAAATTTGATGCTGAAAGCAGCCACTATTCAAAATTAAAGTGATCTCTCTCCGTAATTTGCATTTTTCGACAAAATGCTTTGTGATCCTAATGCTTCTGCAGCTACTGAAAGCAATTAGAGGGCACTCTACTTCCAGGTAGGCCACCTCATAATAAAAATTGCTGTGAGTTGCTAGCAGTGGCTACACAAAGAAGTTACAAAGGTAGCACTGCTCAGTTTAGTTTCCTTTAAGTGAGCGCCAACGATGTATGGTGTCCTTGTAATACTTGCTTTATTTACAAATGTGCAAACAGTGCCTATTGGAAGAAAGCAGAGTACTAAGAAGAGGCAACACATCTGCCTAGACTGAGAGAGGTTCCAGGCATCTGCATTGGTCCAAAGGCAAAAAGCCCTGAATGAAAAGCACCAATACCTTTTATTAAAATGTACAAAAATGACACAAAACACTAGGCAAGCTTTCAGCTTCTCCAGAATTCTTCAGCCGGAAGGGTTTAAACACACACACACATACACAAAGGAGGAAGGGAAGACAAGTTTCCAGCCATGATGTTAAAACCCTTTTCTGCATCCTGTGTGGGAAGGAGAGAAGGGGATTTAACATCATGGTCTGAAACATCTTGTTTCTCCCCTTCCCTATCCTTACCTGGATGGCCCAGGCTAGCCCAATGTCATCAGATCTTGGAAGCTAAGCAGGGTCAGCCTTGCCTAGTATTTGGATGGGCCACCTCCAAGGAATATCATGGTCATGACACAGAGGCAAGCAATGGCAACCCACCTCTGAGAAGTCTCTCGCCTCAAAAACAAATCTAGCTCACCACCTACTGGTGCATAACACTAAAGAGCTAGAACTTCTGGCTGCCAGACAGGCTCTCCTGGCTATACTAGACACAATGCCTTGTGATAATTAATTAATTAATTCTCCCCTTTGCTGGTGGTGCTTAATGAGATCTGCCTCACTAGGGTCCTAAATGTGTATTGAATACTGCACATGCAGTCTTCCAGTGGGTCAAACAACACTCCTGGGGGCACTTTGGGAATGTAAAACAACACAGTGCGTTCTCCCTGGCACCATGGTACCAATCCAAATCAGGCCCCTGCAGTGCTTTGGAATGGAGTTCCCACAGGGAAGTTATGGCTGCAGCATGACATCCAGTTCCTGTGATAATCATATGTTAGAAGTTAGGTCTAGTTTGGAGCTCAGTTTCCTAGCCCATGTGCAACAGTTGCCGTGAATTCAGCTAGGGCACTGCTGCCATCAGAAACGCCCAAGCCCAAGAGGTGCTTTGACTTCAACAAACACTTTGAGCCACTTGGAATTTACCTGTTTTGAGATGAGCTCCTAAATGGCTTGAATTATATGCTCCATTTGCTGACAGCATGCAGTCGTTAGGACTTTCTGCAGGGCTATAGCCAGGAATTTTTTTTTTTGGGGGGGGTGCCATAGCACCGGGGGTGCTAATTAAATTTACTTAAATTAAATTAATAGAGATTGGGAAGGAGAGGATGGAGTAGCACATTACCCCGGCTTTGGGCTGGCGCCAGCTGGTGCACCATAGGCTGGCTCCTCTCTGGCCTCACTGCCACCAAGCACATATGGAAAAGCCTCCTTCTCCCTCCCCCCACAGGCCCACCACTGCTTCCCCCAGCAAGCTCTGGTGGGGGCGGGCTCAGTGGCTGCACAGGCAGCCTGGGCTCCAGCACCTCCCTGACGGAGAGCTGAAGCAACCTGCCACCACTTTTAGGAACCCCACCAAGGGCCCTCCCACTGCTCTCCCTTTACCTGGGTGAACAAAGGTGGTGCCTCCCCTAGGGCTCCATGGCTGCACTTCCAGCACCTGGCCAGGCTTGTGGTTTGTGGCTGTCTCTACACAGCAAGCCCCAGGCCCGCACCCCTAATGTAGTCAATCCTAATGAGTTTCTGCTGTTAGGTGTGGCCTATTATTAGGATTGCCAAGTACTTACCTCAATCCGGCAGGGGACACATGCTCCCCGGCCGGAACAGTTCGCCTTGTAACGCACCATGGCATCGCCAGGAAATGACACTGGGCGATGCTCTGGCAATGGGGCTGAAAACTCGATGGTACCATCGAGTTTCTGGCCCCATTGCCAGAATGTCGCCCGGCGTCACTTTCTGGCGATGGCAAGGTGCAGCATGTCTGTTGTCCCCGCAGGAATGATCCTGTGAAGACGTCTTCATCCCCCGCCGAATCACGGTAAGTACTTGGGAAGCCTGCCTATTATGCTAATGCGTTCCTGCTGGGTGTGGCCAACTCAGGAGCCAGCCGGAACTCTGTTCCTGTGCGTTCCTGCCCAAACATAGCCCTGGCGCTGACAACTGGAGCATGGAAGACAGATGTTGTCATCTGATTGTATTCTTTAAATCTGCAACAGTAATTGTACTATACCACATCAAACTACTTGTGTGACTACAGCCCTTAACAACCAGCATTATTACCACCTTGTCTGGATTAAACTTCAACTTTTTCTGCCTTAGTCATTTAAACTACAACCTCAAGATCCCAAGCCAAAGTCATCTTCTGCACATGGGAAAAGTGCTAAAATGAACAAGAAAAGTGAAACAAAATCCATTGTTCCAATAGTACAGAACCTAACAATTAAACCACTGTTTGTAAACCCTTAAACTAAAGCTTGCACAAGCATTTGTGGAACAGTGCTATGGATGATTTCCTTTCCACCCATGGTTCTTTGGACTCAACCTTGCAGCTTGTAGATTAGCAATCAAAGAGTGAATTAAGCTTCCTTTGTCATGTTGGCAAACTCCCAATTCCATCTACAATGCACCAATTTTTAAGACTAGCTCTGACTGAAGATTAAACTTTGCTATAAAGGAGCTCATTCTTAGTGCTGTCCCTAAACAATAAAACGTCTTTTTTGAATTGTTTTTTTAGTGGGGGGAGTCCTGGAGCTCCCTGGGAGTTTTCTTGCGCGCACGCCAAGTGTGCGCACCGCTATGACATCAGCCAGAAGTGACGTGATCACATTGGGCACATTGCGGGCAGGGCCACAATCATTTGAGGGAAAACCATAGAGTTTTCCCTTGAATGATAGAGCATCCCCCCGCAATGTGCCCAATGCAATCACGTCACTTTCGGGTGACGTCTTCATGCTGGGCACGTCGCACACTTTGGGGGTGGGGCCAGCGGGGAATGGGCTGGCGGGGAATGGGCCTTTTGAGCAGGGGTTTCCCTGCCCCCCGGGGGGACCTGGCAACCCTACTTTCAAGATGCTAATAATAATATTAACAGGGTTACAAAAACAAAACACCTTAATAGCAGAGAAGGTTGCTATCACAGTTGTAAAAAGATGTATAAATGTTGTTGTGGGCACAGTTTGTGTGTGTGTGTTAAGGAAGAACAGTAAAATGTGTGTTCTATATAACAGGAAATCATGGGCACTGCAGAATTTAAGAGCAACAGAAAAGTTAGACATTCAACTGCTTAAGGGACTTCTCAGTGAAAGATAAATAGAAGAAGTTATCTTTGAATTTCACTAAACTCCAAATTATTGCGCAAAGGATATGTAATGTATGTAATTTTAGAAAGTTAAGTAGGAAACATCTGAAAGATTCTGATCTTCCTTTCAAGAAGCTCACTGGTGCATTGGAAAACTCTTGGGGAAAACTCCACTCAATGGTCCTTTTCTTGGCCATATTCTAAAGAAAGCTAAAGAATCCATGTGTC